TAAATGTTCTAGTTTGTCAGCTTAACAAAAATACCATCTCAGAAGGGTCAGATACATAAGAATTATTCACAGTAATAATTGTTGGACTATAAGAGTTGGGGGAAATGGCAAGAGATAATCTGGAGAGGGAAACAAAAGCCAGATCATAGAGTATTTTTTTTTAATTTTTTATTTATTTGACAGAGAGAGAGACAGCGAGAGCAGGAACACAAGCAGGGGGAGTGGGAGAGGGAGAAGCAGGCTTCCCGCCGAGCAGGGAGCCCGATGTGGGACTCGATTCCGGGACTCCGGGATCATGACCTGAGCCGAAGGCAGACGCTTAACGACTGAGCCACCCAGGCGCCCGATCATAGAGTATTGTAAGCCATACGAAGGAGCTTGGAGTATCCTAAGTGTTATATAGAGATATTGAAGAATTTTCAGTATGAGGCTGACACAATCAGACTGGCCTTCTCGAAAGATTAATCTAGCTGCAAAGTGAATTTAGGATAAGGGACAGCCTGGGATAAGAATAGGTAATATTAGTAATTACTTATCTATCTCAGTAATCTAGGTGAAAGATAAAGATGTTTTGGACTAGATCAGTAATGATGAAAATGGAGAGAATTATGTATGGGTGAGGTCCACAGGACCTAGTAGAAGAGACATAGGAATTAAGGATTCAATTCCTCAAGCTTTTGGCCTGAGCAGTTGAGTGGATGGCAATGTCATTCAATGGCATAGGGCATTGAGGTGGAGGTTTGGGGGACATATAGAGAAAGACAGTAGATTCAATTTGGATATATTGTGCTTGAGGGTCTGTAGGCACATAAAAGCTTTTCACAGTTTTGACATATAGTCGTTGTATGATATAAATAATAAATAAGTGAAGGTGTCAAGCTTGTTAATTTTTTAAACTATTTTTATCCTGAGGATGAAAAAGATAAGGAGAACTTCCTCTATGATCAAGGAAAGCCTGAATCAATTGCTGCTCTCATTAATCCATGTACTTCTGTGTAGATTTGTCTAGAAATGAAGCAATACTATTATTAGTGAAATTTTGTTTTGTTCTAGACTTGCTTATTGTATTCAGCAAGTCATAATAAACAATTCCAAAATAAGAGACTTACTGCAGTAAAAGTTTACTCACTTCTATAACATCTCAAAGTGAGTTTGGTGGTTCCCCTTGGCCAATTTTCTGCTAGCTCAGGGATTCAAGCTTCTAATATAAATGCCATCCAGTATTATCTAATCTAACACCATCCTTAAAGATGTGACTTCTGAGGGCATCACATTTATGTTAGGACTAAAGGATCACCCAACATATTTTAAGGGCAAAGCCTAGAAGCAGCTTATATTATCACTGCCCACATTCCATTGAGCAAACAAAGTCATATTCTCTCAACCCAATGCAAAGGAGCTGGTAAATCCAGACCCCACATGTGCACGGGAACAGGAACTAGGATCAATGACCATCTAACTAGCCTCTACGACACTTGAAAATCAAAGAACCATTTTTCAGATAGGTACTCAAATAACAAATATACAATACCAATAGTCAAAATTTGTGCTCCCATGCACACTTACTGTTCCAAGAATGTATCATTAGTTTTATAATGGCAAATTGAGATCGTACTATTCTGTTCTACTCATTTAAGATACTTTGCTATTTGAAGGGCAGAGGTTCAATTGCTTAATTCTTGCTTCATTCTTTTAGAGGAATTCAAACCTCTATGCTGAAGATAATACTTAGTGGTGGTTCTTTTCTCTTGCAATCCGTTCTATGGGAATTTGCTACCATAACTACAGAAAAGAATTTGATAAAATGAAATGGAGACCTCCAAGAAATGTATAACACAGATGCTTCACATTGCAAAATCTCTAATGTCATTATTGAAAAGATAGTTTTTTAGAGATATTCTTATTAAATAACACCAGGCATAATAAATAAGCCTTTTATTTTACTTACTATCTTATGTACATATACTATGTTTTTTGGTTATCACAACCACCTTAATATATTCTCTCTATTTGTCATAGCAGTACCCAGATTTTCTATGAGGTGCTCTCCTACTCTCCAATTCCTACCATTTGGGTAGAGCTGACTCTGTCTTCAATTTATGGGGTGGGCATTTGGCCTAAATCAGGCTAATCAAACTTCACAACTGCCTGATTTCAGTGAGTGTTTCAGAGATAAACACAACATCCAAGTCATGCTAAGTGGGAGACATTGCCAACCAATGATTGGACTACTGTTGTAACAGTTGAGAAACAGACTGGATATGAGCTGGAATTATTGGAGGCCATCTTGCCCCATGAGGAGAGCCTGCCTGAGAGTTGGTTCTAATAGAAAGAAAATAAAGCAGAGACATGGAGACTGACTGTCTTAGTTTGTTCAAGCTGCTATAACAAAATACGATGAACTGGGTGACTTGTAAACAACAGCAACTTATTTCTCTCAGTTCTGGAAGGTGGAAAGTCCACCGTTAAAGTGCTGGCAAACGATTAAGGTGCTGGCAGATTGGGTGTCTGGTAGGGAACCATATCCCAGTTCACAGATGCCATTTTTTCTCTGTGCCCTCACAGGGCAGAGGGATGAGGGAGCTTTCTGGGGCCTTTTTTTATAAAAGCACTAATTCCATTTATGAGGTTTCTACCTTCATGACCCAATCACCTCCCAAAAGCCCCACCTCCAAATACCATCACATTGGAGATTGGGTTTCAACATATGAATTTGGGGGCACACAAACATTCAGTCCCCAGCAGTTACTGCATCCTAACAACATTGTTTGAACCAGGACCCAGCAACACTGATGCAAAGCCTACTCCCGGACTTCTCACGTACAAGAGTCAATGCATTCTTTTTCTTTCCGTTTGCCATTTTGAGTCCAGTATCTCGTCTTTGCAGCCAGAAGAGTCCTATGCTCTTGGGCAGGATGTTAACATTTTCCCTACTTTATAGGAAAATAAACTGAGGTTTAGAGACCCTAAACAACTCACTGTAGCTTGGCCTGCACTTAGTAGTGCAAAACAGAAAGAAAACCTGACTTCAAGGGCAGTGCTTTAATTATACTTTATTTAATTAAGATTCTTTTTACGTTTTAAGGCACTTTTTCTTTTCTATCAAGACTGAAGAAAAGTCTTGTCAGGATAGAATAATTACTGCACGGTATCTAGAAAGCTCAGGCTTTCCAATATTTATTGGCAGTTGTTGTGTAGATTATATTATTATAAATATGAATGCCAAGTCATTCTCAAGAAACAAATAGTAAATTTGAGCATGTTAGGAGCCATGCGAGGGATGCCTCTGTTCTGTTCTGTACTTAAAATGAAATTTTTTCTACAGTTGAGCTCTAGGTCTGATCTAAAATCAGCAGAAAAGGTTTGCAATACTCACATGTGTGCCTCTTTTGAAATCTAGTGGTTTTAGAAAAAAAGCATATATGTACTGTATACTTCAAAATAACTAACAGTATTCTTAATGGGAAAAAAATCCCATTTTTTTTCCTGGAACTGAGAATGGAAAACTTAGCTGCATACCATTCCAGTTCAAGGATCTGTAATCTTAGACCATTGAAGAGTTCCTCTTTCCAAGGAATGTTTCTCTGTGTGGTTTCTAAGCCTCCTGACTTTCTGCAAAAATTTAGCATTTCCCCAGGAAGCTTAAGAGAAATAACAATGTAGGAACCTCATAGGTCTTGTTAGGTTTTCATGTCTGACACATAGTTCTCCTATTTTTATCTATCATACTTGGTCACACTCTTGCCTTCATTTGATTTTACTTGGTCGTCAGAACAAAACGAAGAGCTATAAGGCAGTGATAAGGCTTTCCTCTCTCATAACAAACTGAAAACAAAATTTGCTTAGACTCAGTCACAGATAATACGAAAACCTGTGGACAGCCAAGTTGTTAAGAATCCCATGTTGTACTTTACTCGTTTAAATAGCAATCATTCCAGTCTTAATCAAACTCTATGACATTCTAGATGGTGTCCACCTTAATAAGATTATCTCCTAATTGCCTGCCTGTTCCTGATGGCCTCTGCACCACTCATGTGAATAAACAGCCCAGACAGGCTAGAGAAGGAAGGTGTTCTCCCCTTCGTGCAGTGTTGAGAATAATCCAGAAGGACATCCCCATACTGCTGACCAGATTTTTGGCTCAGAGATGAGCCCTGTACTTACATTTTGGCAGCCTAATCATTGAACCTCTCTGAGCCTCAGTTTCTTTAGCTGTAAAATAGAAATAGTAATGCCTTTGCAGGGGTATGTGAAGATTAAAAGCCTAAATGTTCTCTTAAACTTACTGTTCAGGAAAAAAAAAGTGCTGTAAATCTCTGTGAATATAAAACATTGAAGATAATTGAGTTTTTTAACTCCTCCTCTGACATACAAATTATGGCAAAATGTATTCAAAATATATTCAAAATCCAAGAACTGACCCAAATACGGTCACACACGTAGAAATAACCTGTGATAAATTAAAGTAGGGTAACACACATAGAAATAACCTGTGATAAATTAAAGTCGAGTTACTAACAAGTAAAACTACAGTTAAATTGTATCAGCTATTATAATGAAACATACAGATATGCACACACACACACAAAGTTTCAATATGCTTAGCCAAATGGAGAAACCAGGTTTGAGAAAAATTCATCTCCCACAGGTGAGGACGTTAACAGTAATTTCTATGGCAGTAGTCTGATGATTTATCTCTCAACTACCATGGTTTCTTAATTAATTTGAGACATTTTAATTAGATTCTTTCTCATTTTCACTTCAGCCCAGCATCTCTGGGTGGGATCGACCTCCACTCCCCCCACCCTCAGCAACCCCCACTCCAGCCCTGGCAGTTGCCTGATAAATCGCCACCAGGAAAAGCACCATCAGCTAACCACAAGGAGAATCAAGAGGCATTAGGATGGAAATAGAATTTGTCTTTGTTGTCCACCATTTGGCCTCAGTTTCTTGGTTCTCATTATCCTCTTTTTCCTAACCCTTTCCTTACCATTCCCCAGAGCCGCACCCACCCTGCTCCCAGGAATCTGATGTCTTCATGCTGGCAGCTCAGCTGAGCACGCCTCCCTGAAGCCTCTCCGCTTCCAAAATGGTTACTACCTTTTTTCTTCAGCTTCCTTTTTCATCAAGCTCACATCGACTCAAACCTGATGATCTCAGAGAGATGTAAACAGAAAAGCCAACTAATCAAGCCTCAAGTGTGAATAACTGCTTTTTCTTTCCTGGGATTTTGCATCTTAAGCATGTTAACCCATATTCATCTACAATTAGTGGAATCCCCAAGGAATTTACAGGGGACTGAGGTTACAGGGTGCGGATATATGGGCAACAGACTTCTCTTCATTCTTTTAACTTTTCAACTCACATGAAAGCTCCCTTCCCTTTTGGTGAGGGCCAATCTCTAGAGGCTCTGCATTTATTTCCCAAGAAGAGTTACTGCTTAGGGATTAGCAGTCACTTCCAGCTGCCATCATGAGTCTGACACCAAGAATGGAGCTTTGTTCGTGGAGCATGAAAGCAGCTTGAAGAGTCCTGCTGATTGGCATAAACCCATGAGGAAATAAAAATTTTTCATTCATGTGCGCGCACACACACACACAATGTAGGATTTTTTTTCCTCATCCGTAGGCAGACACAATTCCAATTGCATTGGGCACTATTTCATCTTTCTGGTATTTGAATATAGGAAAATACAGGTGTGATTGGGGCTTGGTTAAATCCTGAATTATCAAGTGGCATGCGTAGATGCTACAAGCTTCAAGTTTGGTCTTTGGTTAACTTACTCTCTAGAGGTCTCAGAATCTTGGGGAAAATGAGTACTCTGTGTAAATGTTATTTATGTTTGCTGAATATGTGTATTTACAAGGATTCTTTTCAGGGCAGTGTTCACAAATTGTTGCAATGTATCATTTTTGTTAATTGCATTGTATACACTTACACATAATTTATTGGTAGAAATAAATTGATTTATGCTTTATTTTATTTTTTTGCACCCCTTTCCTGGGGTTTAACCAGGAACCAGGAAGATCAAAGTGTTCTAGGAACACAGAACCACACGTTTCCTCAGTCTGAGCACAGAACCATGAAGGTAGCAAGACTTGTACATTACGTTCTCAAGAGCTAAAGGAAGGAGGGATTTACCAAACTGCTTATGTGAAAAAAATTATGAGGTAGACCTTAATAGAATAGCCTCAACTTTCTTCAATGTGGATAATCCACCTCTTGCCTCCACAATACTGCTAAAACAATTCACAGGCTAATTCACCAATTAACTTCTAACGGTCATGTTCTAAGGCTTCATTTTAGTCCTGATAGTATGCAGTTGGCACATTCTCTTATTGACCCTTCAGTTTTGGGGTTCCCATCCATTGTCGTCTACTCTCACTCTTCTTCAAAGTTCTCAAGGTGGAAACCCACAAACTGGATAAAGTACACAGGTTTATACAATTTGGGCTCAATAGTGTTGCAGGCAAATTTAAGAAACAATATATAAAACCTGAAATCTTCACTTATTCATTTGGATTTTCCAAGTTTTGAAAAACGGAAAGATCTGACAACCCTAGACCAACATTTATGCAGGGCAATGATTTGTCGGAAGTAAATGGAAGTTGCTCCATAGAGATTGGACGCTTGGTCTCCAGTTGCCATGGTCCTCACTTCTCCTCGTTGCCTTAAATCCCTGACCCACCCCTTTAACTCGTTCACATACGTGAGCATTTGCAACTATTTCTCGTATATTTACCCTGTGTGATTTCATCCTTTCTTACGGTTTGAACTCCCTGACTCTAAAATTTGACTCCAGAACACATTTGTAAACACCAAATAATATCTCTGTTCCTCCAAAATGTACTTATAGATTCCTCATTCTCAACGTCCCAAACCAAGCACATTACTTTTCTTATAAGCCACCAAATTTGCTTCTCCTCTAGTTCCTGTATAGTTAATAGCGTTGTCATCTGTTATAGTGAGTTTTATGTATCAACCTGCCTAGGCTCTATTCCCTGATTATTCAAATAAACACTCCTGCTGAGAAGATATTTTGTACATGTGGCTTAATATCTGCAATCAGATGACTTTAAGTAGAGGAGATGATCTTTGATAATCTGAGTGGGCCTCATTTAACCAGTTGCAAAGCCTTGAGAGCGAAACTACGACTTCTCTGAAGAACTTCAGCCTTACAGTAGCAACAGCAACTCCTGCCAGAGGGTTTCCAGCCCGCTGGCCTGCCCAACACCATTCTGACTTGCCAGCACCCACAGTTTCCCTGCTTCTGTTTCTCTGGAGAGCGCTGACCTATAAGGTTCCAGGTGGTTCTGCCATCGACACCTTTGCTGCAAGCATTTTCGCCAAAAATGAATTGGCCATAAGGCAAATCTGCCATAAAAGATAAAAATCACACACACACAGACACACACACACACACACAAAATATAAGAGGGACTTCATGTCCTTTTTAATAAAGAACATAATGAAACATGAAAACTTCATGTTTAATAATAATTAATAAATAATTATTAGTTTATTCCTGCATCTAAACATGTATCAGTTTTCCAAATACTAGGATGCATATTTGTTACTGAGCTTTGTGAGAGCCTACGTTGTTGTTTGTTCTTGGCGTATTGTCACATGTCCGTCGATAGACATCCCGAAGTTCCATTGGAAATGTGGAAGAAATGCTAACACTGTCATGCATTTGTAACTGAGGTTTGTGATCATCTTAAATGGTATGTTATCATTTCCCATATAGTACGCAATATAGCTTTATAAGCTCTTATTCACACTTACAGAGAGTTTTATCACTGTATTTTTTAAGTCGATATATGTAGTAGTTAACTACCATTTTAAGACCACTGTGTCTACTCGTCACTGTATAGACCATTATGAAGGCTGGCTAAGATTTGTGTAATGTAAAAATGGGAACTTTGTCAATGGAGAAATGAAACCAAACTGACAACTAGCTTCAATACAGTAATTCTGCTGAAGATGGTTGTTTTGTAACGGTGAAATGAAACCAAACTGTCTCCCCATTATTTTATCCCCCTATGGCAAAATTGCCTTACGGCCAATTAGTTATGTGGTAAAAATGTTTGTGGTAACAATGTTTGCAGTGAAAATGCTTGTGGCAAAAATGTTTACCACAAAGATGCTAACAGTGAAAATGCCAGACACTACTGATACTCCATCCACCTAGATAAGCAATGTTAAGAATATAAGAGACTTCCTTAATGCTTCCTCCTTCTTATGGCTTTCATCTGTCACACCCCTTTCAAATTATTCTTTAAAATAATGATCAGATATGATTTATAATTCTATAACTCAGATCTTTTCCCTATTGCTTAGAGATCAAAATCTAGACTCCTAAGTAGGGTACACATGGATATTCATTTTCTGGTTCCTGCATACTTCTCCAGACTCATCTCTTTGCTGAGCTACCTACTTCCCTTGTACCTACTGTCTAAATGGAAATGCTTCCATATTTTTAACATACCTTTATATTCTATTCCTCTATGCCTAAGCTGCTCCCACGACCTGAAATATCCTTCTTTATAGAGCACCTGGCAAAAATCTACTTAACTTTCAAGACATGGTTGAAATGTTTTCTCTTCTGTGAAACCTCCCCACCCTCCCCTTTTCCCAGCAGAATTGATCCACTCTTCCTTGGTACCCCAGCCTCCTCTTGCATGCTTCACCCATGTAGAGCCATAATATAGGAATGTAGTTCATTTGCTCGTTCATATGTTTGTCCTGTGTTAAACTGTGACGCTTAATTCATTATGTAATTTAGGAGAGCCTTGTGGCAACAACTGCTAATGACCCCATCAATATCCATTCTCCTCTTCTGCAGTAATAGAACTTCTACCTAGGCACATGGCCAGCTAGAACAAAGGTTACATTTTCAGCCTTCTCTACAACTTGGTGTGGCTATGTGACTGAGCTCTCACCGATGGAATCTAAGTGACTGTGTCCTATGCCAACATCTAAGAACCACCAGAGGCAGTTTTCACCAGCTCTTTGCCCTTTATACTTCCCTTCTCCCAACTTACTCTTTGGAACATGGATGTGATGACTGAAGTTCTATCTTGGTTCTTGAAAAAAAAACAAAAAACAAAAAACAAAACCTACTCTTGGCATGGTCAAGTAGAAAGCTGCAGGAGCCTGGGTCCCTGAGAACTTTGTACAGCAAAGCCGCTAGACCAGCCCTAGCTTACTCACCTCTGCACTTTTACCCAGGGAACAAATGAATTTTCACCATATTTAAGCTGCTCTTTCAGAGAAAGCAGATGTATCACTCACAACCACATAAAATTCTAATATATGAATGGTTCTGGCAATGTCTTCAATCAACACTCTTTAAGCTTTTAAATTAGGAATGATGCCTAAAGATTTGTTACTGGGTCCCAGTCGGAGAGGGGCTCATAATCTCAAAATCGAGCTGGCTGGGTTTTAAAGCTTGCTTGCAATGTTTACATGTGGGCTTCCTGTTGTTTGTACAGGGCATCCTCTGCATTTCAACCTATGGACTTGGACTTAGTTTGAGCTCCGCTCCCTGGGGAACCCAACCTTTGATATATTGTGCTCCACTTGGCAAGTATCTGACTGACTAAGCCAGCTCCATCTCTGACAAGTAGGGATGAGTTAGCAAATCAAACAAGGGGGAGGGTGGCTAGGTTAGAGCCAAGACTGAGGTGAGTTCAGAGGCCATGAGCTGAGTGAAGTGCCAGCAGCATGGCAAAGAATTTGAGCCCATACTTGGTGCACTGGAAAAGCAGGATCAGGAGAAAAATATGCCAGACTGTTGCTAGGGTGATTTGATTTGCCTTTTCAAAGGCCTGTTTATGCCCAGATGTATTACGACACAGCATGACCACTTTCCAACATGGGTATAGGATATAGACACTCTCAAATACTCTGTGGGAGTACAAATTGGAGAAAATATGACAAGTCCCTTAGATATTTTAAATGTGCGTTCATTAGGAGCCAAAGATTTTTTTAAAAGTGGGTAAGGAGCTCAGAAGAAACACTGGAAACACGTGTCTTTATAATTTAATATTGTTCAAAATGTCTTACTTAGGCAAGAAGACAAGCAGACCCACATTCACATATATCCTCTATTCCCAACAGTAGTAACAAGAACTAAATTTAGCAAGAAACACATAAAACCCATATAAAGAAAACTACTATTTCACTGGAGTTTTTATGAAGGCTAAAAGTCTCTTTGTTGATGCCATCATTCTGATGTATAGAAAACCAAAAGAAATAACTGATAGCTTAACATTAGAGATCAGTAATATGGCTAGAAGTAAAGGAAATACATAGAAATAATTATACATGGCAATATTAATTACAGAATGTAATGGGGGAAAGGTAGAATTTAAATCAATGAATAACTGATTAATCAATAAATAGTTTTGGGAAATTTTGATAGCCAAAATAGGAAAATAAAATTATATTCTTTCCTCACATGGCATACACACAACCCAGATGATTTAAATATGCAAATAAAAGGGTGCCTGGATAGCTCAGTCGGTTAAGCGTCTGCCTTTGGCTCAGGTCATGATCCCAGGACCCTGGGATGGATCCCCGTGTAGTCGGGCTCCTTGCTCTGCGGGGAGCCTGCTTCTCATTCTCCTCCCTGCTCATGCTCTCTCTCGCTATCTCTATCTCTCTCTCAAATAAATAAATAAAATCTTTTAAAAATATGCAAATAAAGAATATGAAGAATAAAATATGGGAGACTTGGAGCGCTAAAACAAAATATAGGAGACTATTTTTTGATATGAAAAATGCCTATTGAGACCCTCAGTAAAAAGTTCAAAACTGAAAGAGATCTTGACAGTCAATGAACATGTGTATGTTCTCCCTCTAAGTAGGCCCTATCCTTTGCCAGCCTTTCTGTTCTCTTATTTTATGGATATTTTATGGATATGGCAGGCAAAATCTGCCTGGCTTTTCCTGACATTTGCATACATCTGAACTTATTTGACGAGATTACGTCTGGCTTTATAGAGAAGTGGGGAGAAGGCAGAAAGAGAGAGAGACAGATGGAGACACAGCGAGAGTGATTTACATGGAAAAGAAGGAAGACAGTGATTCAGATGTGGTGAGGGCTGCTTGGGGCAGCGCCCCGATGAACCAATCCCCAGCTCTGGGGTCACAGCTCTTTAAAGATCGCTGAGTGTGGTACGGAAACAGCAGAATCATCAGACACCAAGGGACCACGAGGCCTCGGAAAACCAGTGTCTCTGCAGTAGCCCTGTGGACAGAAGCCTAGAGCTCTCTGCCACGCTATAGTAGTTTAAGAACCCTCCAGGGACTACTCAAGACCTTGTGGCTTGGCCTGGGGTCCGAATTTGAGGGAGATCCCCAATTAGGGTGTAATTTAATCCCCTCTTCCATGTGAACAGGATAGTCCTCTGAGTCTAATTTGAGTTTCTTTTAAATAAATAAAATAAATGACATTTCTTACATACCCAGGTTTGAACTGACTTGACCATTGTTAAGCAGCGTGGGGAGAAACAGACAGCACGAGAAAATAAGCGTAACTATGCCGGAGGCCTGTTTGACGGTGTGGGTCAACATGTAAAATGAGCATGCTTTGTCACTAGCCATCTTAATCCCAGGACTTCACACCAAAGAACTTTCCTTATTGAGTCAAGTAAATAGATGTACTGCAAAACTGCTTATAATGGCAAAAAGATTTTGGGAAACTGCATGCTTTTTAGGAGACTGATTAAGTAAGTTATGAGCTAAATCATGTACATACATACAATGGAATATTCTGAAGCAATAAAAGTGATTATATGCTCAAAATCTTTGGTCACATCTCTCCTGCCTTCCAATATCAGAGCTCCTGGTTCTCAGGCCTTCAAACTCTGGGACTTACACCAGCGGACCCAGTTCTCAAGTGTTTAGCCTCAGATTGGGAGATACACCATTGGTTTTCCTGTTCTGAGGCCTTCAGATTCAGAGTGAATTATACCACCAGCTTCCCTGGTTCTCCAGCTTGTAGATGACAGACTATGGGGCTTCTCGGCCTCCATAACTGCCTGAACCAATTCCTATTATAAATCTCCTCTTATCAATATCTAATATATCCTATTAGTTCTGTTGCTCTGGAGAAACTTGACTTATCCAAGTACTGATGCTGATACTTTTCTCCAAATAAGTCATAGGTTCCCAGTGGACATCTCTCTTGTGGGGGCACCAAGCCATACCCTAGAGATGTGCAGCAAAATACTTCAGTGTAAATTCTCGAAGGGTATGATTTCAAGAGATTTTTACTTTTTCTTATGCTGAGCTATATTTTAAAATAAGGAACATGCATTGTTTTTCCAAAACCCATAGAAAAAAAAAAAAGAAAGGAATGTTAACAACGAGAGTTTGCTGGGGTGTAGAGAATTGAGAGTTTCATGTACCATTGGTATAATTGAAAATTGGTAGAGCTTTTTGGAGGGCAATTTGACAGTTCAATTTCTAAGAATGTATCCTGTAGGAGTATTTGTACCCTTGCACAAAGATATATGCTCAATGATGCCCATTATAGGATTGTTTGTGGTGGCAAAAATGAAAAAAATAATCACTTTTTGTGGTCTATGTCCTCTAGGCAAAGTCTCCTTATGAGTCTAGTGTAAGAGTAGGCAAACAATTATGTATTACACAACCATGAGAAACAGAGGAGAGGGATCCTTTTCTGTATGTTGACACAGAATGTTACAATATATTGTTTATTTAAAATAGTAAGTGAAAAACAGTATGTAGAGTGTGATCTTATTTAACATTACTACAGGCATGCCTCCTTTTATTGCAATTTGCTTTGTTGCACTTCACAGATGCTTTGTTTAGTTATTTACTTTAATTTTTTTTCTTTTTAAGAGAGAGAGAGAGAGTGGGTGGGGAGGGACAGAGGGAGAGGGAGAGAATCTCAAGCAGGCTCCACACCCAGTGCAGAGCCTGAGTGGGGCTGGATCTCAGGACCCCGAGATCATGACCTGAGCTGAAATCAAGAGTCAAGCATTTAATTGACCGAACCACTTAGGGTCCCCACATTTTTTTTTTTTACAAATTGTTTTGTGACAACCCTGCATCAAGCAAGTCTATCAGCACCATTTTTCTAGCAGCATTTACTCACTTCAAGTGTCTGTCACATCTTGGGAATTTATACGGTATTTCAAACTTTTTTATTATCTTTATGTTCATTATGGTAATCTGTGATCGGTGATTATGACTCACTGAAAGTTCAGATGATGATTAGCATGTTTTAGGAATAAAATATTTTTGAATTAAAGTGTGTATATTTCCTTTTTAGACACAATGCTATTGCACACTTAGTAGACTACAATATAGTGTAAACATAACTTTTATGTGCGCTGGGAAACCAAAAAATTCATTTTACTCACTTTATTGCGCTATTCACTTGATGGCAGAGGTCTGGAACCGAACCTTCGGTATCTCCAAGTTATGTCCATATTTTTACGTACTTGGGGCGCCTGGGTGGCTCAGTTGGTTAAGCGACTGCCTTCGGCTCAGGTCATGATCCTGGAGTCCTGGGATCAAGTCCCACATCAGGCTCCCTGCTCAGCAGGGAGTCTGCTTCTCCCTCTGACCCTCCTCCATCTCATGCTCTCTGTCTCTCATTGTCTCTCTCGCAAATAAATAAAGTCTTAAAAAAAAAATTTATTTTTATGTGCTCAGAGAAAAATCCCAAAGGATATCTACCAATTGGTTAGCAATAATTATCTCTGATGAATGGCATCACAGAATTTTCACTTCCCATTTTATACATTTCTACATTGTCGGAGCATTTTACAATAAGCATCTATTATTCCCTTCATAAGAGTGGAAAACAATGACTTTTTTTTAAAAAAAAGAAGGAAAAAAAAAAACCCACAGAGAGGGGCATTGTTCCAGAGCTGGGTCTTGGGCCAAGATTTAGACTCTGCTGCATAGCGGTAGACAGGACCTTATTCAGCTGGAGCTTGTGAATAGCTTGATTGACATTCTCTGCCTGGCCTGGGCTTTCACTCATCTAGCACGGCTCAGCTGGGAACCCCCTTGAAATTTCCATGAAGGGGTCTCTCCTGCTGTGGGTGTGATATTGGCCATTTCTTAGTTTTCTGTCCAGCCAGAGAGCCAAGAATGCTACCAACTCTGGGATCAAGCTCCACCCAGCTCATTATTTCCTAGCTGTGTGACCTGGAGTAAGTTATTTAACCTCTCTAGTCTTCCTACCTCAATGGTCGATTTTGAAGATGAAGCTAAAAGACATGTAAAATTCCTTCCCAGACATTGCAGCATAGTAAGTATGTAATAAATGTCAAATCACACCCCCACCATCACTGCCACTCCTTCTTTCCCCCTTTCTCATTCTCTGGCAGGTGGAAAATTTAGAGCAGTGGTTCCCAATGGGCCCTCTGCTATTTTCTTGGTGGCCTTTGATAAATGGGGGCCGTCATAATGAAGAAGCTACTGCCTTTGACCTGATCTGTGGGCAGGATCCAGGAATGCCAGATGTCCTGTAAGACAGGAGACAGTCCAGACAATAAAAATCATCTTGCATCTCACATAACTTGTCAATGTCCCAGAAGGTATTTGTGTAAGTCAAAAACCTATTTATATTATCTGAGTTTAGAAGTTAATTCCATTTTATATAGCAACACTGCATTTCCCAGGAGGAAGGTTGTATTTTGTTTTGCTTGGATTTTACCACTGTTTTTTGTTTTTGTTTTTTTTCAAAATCACATTTTGACAGTAGTTTCTCTTCTATGCTGTTTGAGTCTCCAAATAAAACACACCTCTAACCATCTGCTTTTGCAGTAGCCACAAGTTGGTTTAGTCTATTGGTATAACCATCTGACTACATCTGACTACTATATCTTATAGAGTGCTCATTCCTAACTAAGCATTTACACAATGAAATCCACACTAGTCTATTTTTTTTTTAAGATTTTATTTATTTATTTGACAGAGAGAGACACAGCGAGAGAGGGAATACAAGCAGGGGGAGTGGGAGAGGGAGAAGCAGGCTTCCCGCAGAGCAGGGAGCCAGATGCGGGGCTTGATCCCAGGACCTGGAATCATGACCTGAGCCGAAGGCAGACGCTTAACGACTGAGCCAGCCAGGCGCCCCCACACTAGTCTATTATAAATTATTTTTCTATAACATCTTTTATATTAGTTTGAATATTATATTGAGTTTTTTAATCTATGTGTACATAGATGGTATTCTTTAGATGTATGTAGATTGACTTTTATTTTGGAATCATAAAGGCAGCACTACAAGATAGTTATTACAAAAAGAGGAGATGGCAGTGTCTGGAAGAGCACAGAGTTCTTCAATTGCATCAATAACCCCAGAGGAGAACACCTCTCCTGAGAACTTGGGTGGGTTCAAGAACTGCATGTTTTCAAGTGAAGAATAGTGATATTGACTAAAATTCAGGCATCTCACCATTCCCATTTCCACAAGGATTGTGAATAACAGGATAACAACCAACATTGGTCCCTCTGGAGCCAGAACCGAGGAGACCACAGGAGCCAGAATAACTCTTAAGTACAGCTAGAGAAATGGAATAACCTTGCTGTCCTATCTAGTTTGTTAAACCAGAAAGCAAGAGATATGTCATGAGTCTGTAGATGAAGTGAAAGGCAAGAAGCCAGAGAGGCCAAGTACATGGAGGAGGGGCAGGGATGGAGACAGTTGCTGGTAGGGGAAGGATGAATGAGGAAGCTGGGCAGGGAATAGGGGAAAGAATATGGAGCTGTTTTGGCCACAGCACATCTTTATTATGTGGGCTAGACTCCAGCGGGCCTGCTAGACTTGCATGCTTCTACTGAACGCTGACTACTTGTTGCATGGCTTATTAAATGTGTCATCTAACATTTGAAAGAGAAGAAATTAAGACACCTGACTTCCTTAACTTTCTATGCTCATGGGCCAGAAGATGGATGAAAACCATAAAAATAAAATTGCCAATAAATAAACCATTATTTCTATTCTGGAATACTCTGTTACTTTTATCTTAGTTTATTCCTGCTGGTGACTGAATGAGTTCCTTCACAGACTCACTGAGAACATCAACACGGAATGACCTGTGATAACCAATTATGAGGAAATAAATGATTTCCAAGACTTCCTAATGGGCTTCAGGCTACAGAGAGTTTGCAGGAGTGACATTAGTAATACTAAAAGTAATATCAACAACAAAAATAGAATGTGGAGTCTATAATGTAAAAACATTAGTTCCATAGTCTAGTTTACTGTAAATTGTAAGACAAATTTGAAAGCAAGATTTGCCGAGGATGTGCAAAATAGATATCTTGTGCCCAAAGAATAACACACTGATTCTGTCAAAGTGAGGAACTCTATCAGAGGAGAGTAGTATGAAAAATCATTCTGAAGGAGGAAATCAGAAAGGAGTTAGGAAGATATTTTATGCAGATGAGAAGTAGAGATTTATTAAGGATATGAAATATAAGACAGGATGTAAGTTAGGTGGCTTTTTGAAACATTTTGTCCATGTCATTTTTGACACATCCAGCCTGTCACTCATCATATCTGCCATCTTATTTTATACATATATGTACATATTTTATAAATTTATATATTCACACACATTGTGAAATATAGAGAGATACAACTGGGGTACGAGCCCATAGTCAATCTAGTGAGGGACTCACCCTGATAATGCAGCAATAACAGCATAGACCAACGCCGGAGAAGCCTGGAGGCTACAAGGGAATCTTGGAAGGGCACCTATCCTAGTCCAGGATAGTCCCAGAGAGCTTCCCAGAAGAAACTGTGTCTAAGCTGAGATCCAAGAATGAGTTGAAATTTACTGGAGAGTGAAGGACAGGGATATTATGTCCTACAGAGGCAATAGCATTTAGAAAGGCCCAGAGAGAACAAAGACTCTTCAAAACCTAACAAGAAGTTCAACACGAGGAGATAAGTGGAGTGGACTGGAGAAATAGGCTACAAAGGTAAACTGGACCCAGATCATAGCAAGAACTTTTAAGAATTTACATATCCTAAGAGCAATGGCAAGACTTTAAAGCCTTAAGTAGGGGAGCAACATGACCAGATGAAAATCCCCTCTGGCTGCAGTGTGAAGAACAGAATAAAAGGGAATAAAACAGAACTGTATAATTTTAATATATTTATCTATTCAATTAACATATGTGGCTCATCTACAATTCCCCACTTTCTAACTTCCAGCTCTAAGTGGCCGATGTGAACCCAATATATCACTGTACTTCAAGCATTGTTTTTTCAAAAGATATACCTATATGTCCTGATTAACATATTAGGGGAGAATGAAACAAGAGCTGTAGAGAATAAAATGAGAAGATTATAATCGATGGACTCTCTTGAAGGAACGAGAGAACAATTTTAAGTGCAAGATAAAAGGTTAGCTCCCCTGGTAGATCTAGAGCCTTAAAAAGTCTTGCATTTATAACACAGGTAACAAATAATTATAATTCAGAGCGACAAATAAAACACTTTAAAAGGAATACTGGGAAAGCTTCATAGAGGAGGTGGAAATTTGTCTGGATTATTTTTAAAGAATGAGCATGAGGACCTGGAGTGAGAGATGCAAGAGAACAGGGGCTACCACAGAACAGATTAAACAGCAAGACCAGGAATGAGTGTTAACACCAGTCTTGGGGCAAATAAATTTAGAGATGCAAGGTCCCTGGATTTACCCAGAAGAATCACTGTTAACGGCAAATGGAAGATAGAAAAGCAAAGGAATAGTGAGATTACCATGAGAGATATGGGGGTGGGGAAACAAAAGAAGAAAGCAACAAAATACGGATAGATAGGGTT